ACACCAGTGAGAATGGCACATATTAAAAAAACTAGCAACAACAAATTTTGGCGAGGGTGTGGAGAAAAAGGAACTCTCCTGCACTGCTGGTGGGAGTGCAAACTGGTCCAACCACTATGGAGAGCTGTGTGGAGATTTCTTGACCTACTAAACATAGAGCTTCCATATGATCCAGCAATTCCACTCCTAGGTATTTACCCAAAGGACACAGAAACATCAATTCCAAAGAGCACCTGCACACCTATGTTTATAGCAGCACTGTTTACAATAGCTAAGCTTTGGAAACAGCCCAAATGCCCAAAAATAGATGACTGGATCAAGAAGATGTGGTACATATATACCATGGAATATTACTCAGCATTCAAAAAAGATAAACACATGCAATTTGCAGCAACATGGATGGCACTGGAAGGGATCATGCTCAGTGAAATAAGCCAAAAAAAAAAAGAAAAATACCGGATGGTCTCACTCATAGCAGGAATCTAGAAAACTTAAATAAGGGACCAGGAAAATGAATAACTATAAGAAAGTGAAAATCAAAATCAACAAAAAACTATGAACCAGAGACACTTTTTGGGGGGGGGGGGGGCGGGAGGGGAGGGATTGGGGTCAGAATGGGTGGGTTGCAATTGTATGGGGAATATAAAAATAAAATTTATTATTTAAAAAAAATGCTGTGTATAATATATATTATTATAATATATAATTTATTATAATTTAGAATATGGGAGTATTTTATTTTCTTTATTTTCTGTTAAAAGACTGAATATTCTTCATATCTTAAAAAAAAAAAAAAAAGTATGCAGTAATTGGGCCTCCCCTGGTGGCTCAGGCAGTTGAGTGCAGCACTGTGAGGCTGTCCGCAGCATCTGCAGTGCTGGTTCTATCCTGGCCAGCCAGCGAGGGTCCCACATGGCGCGGCAGACCTCTCCTGCCTCGCCCGCTGCTCCCCTCAGCAGTGTATTTCAGTCAGTCTGCCTGTTCTGCTCCCCGCTCTGTCTCTGGCGAATCCTCTCATCCTCACACACATCTGGCCTGTACCCCGGTTCTTTATAAATAAATAAATAAACAAACAAACAAACAAATAAATAAATAAATATCTTAAACAAAAAAAAAAGTATGCAGTAATTTAACAACATCAAAAACTCTAAGGTGTTGTTAAAAACAAATAAAGCAAAAGGAAATGGAAAGGTATGTTTATGGGTTGGAAGAATTAACGTGGTCAAATGGCCATCTTACCCAAACTAACGTATGGATTTCAAGTAATCCCTTTTAAAATTTCAATCGCTGTCTTAAAGGAGATAAAGACTGCAGTACTAAAATTCATATAGAACCGCAAAAGACACAGCATAGCCAAAGCAATTTTAAGAGTAAAGAAGAATGCTTTTCCGGTGGCAGAGTCTGGAGAGGATGCGTAGAAATGGCACGTCGCAAGGGGAAGGAAAAGAAGGAAGAACAGGTCATCAGCCTTGGACCTCAGGTGGCTGAAGGAGAAAACGTATTTGGTGTCTGCCACATCTTTGCATCCTTCAATGACACTTTCGTCCACGTCACTGATCTCTCTGGCAAGGAAACCATCTGCCGTGTAACTGGTGGGATGAAGGTGAAGGCTGACCGAGATGAATCCTCGCCATATGCTGCTATGTTGGCAGCCCAGGACGTGGCACAGAGGTGCAATGAACTGGGTATCACTTCCCACCACATCAAACTCCCGGCTACAGGAGGAAATCGGACCAAGACTCCTGGATCTGGGGCACAGTCAGCCCTTAGAGCCCTTGCCCGCTCAGGAATGAAAATTGGGTGGATTGAGGATGTCACCCCCATCCCCTCTGATAGCACCCGCAGGAAGGGGGGGTCGCCGTGGTCCCCGTCTGTGAACAGGACTCTTCAAATTATTTTCTGTTAAAATAAATTGCCTTCTTGTAAACCAAAAAAAAAAAAAAAAAAAGAGAGTAAAGAAGAATGGAGTGTATTGTGCTTCCAGTCTTTAAATTATACTATGAAGCTATAATAATAATAATAATAATAATAATAATAATAAAACCCTACAGTATTGGAATACAAATAGACCTGTGGAATGGAATTGAGAACCCAGAAATAAACCCACATTTATATGGACAGTTAATTTAAAACATAAAAGGCAAGAGCATACAATGGAGAAAGGCAATTCTATTCAACAAATAGTGTAGGGAAAATTGAACCGGCACATGCAAAAGAATGAAACCAGACTACCATCTCATAGTAGACACAAAAATTAATTCAAAATGGATTAAAAACTTGGACCGAAGACCTGAGCCATAAAATACATAGAAGAAAAATATAGGCAAAACACTCCATGACACAGACTTCAGAACTGTCTTTGTGGATTCATTTCCAAAGTCAAGGGAAACAAAATAAAAAATAAACAAATGGGACTACATCAAGCTAAAAAGCTTTTGCACTGGGAAAGCAGATTTCCTTAAAAGTTTCCTAGCTGGGGGCCTCACCGGTGGCGCAGCGGTTGAGCACTGGGTTGCGAAGCTGCCCGCAGCCTCTGCAGCGCCAGTTCGATCCCCGGCTGCTCCCGGGCCACTGGAGGAGGGTCCCACATGGAGCGCAGACCTCTCCTGCCGCCTGCTGCTCCCCTCAGCAGTGCACGGTCCTTCTGCCTGCTCTGCTCCCCGCTCTGGCTCTGGTGAATTCTCTCACCCTCCCGCGCTTCTGACTGTACCCAGTGCTTGTATAAATAAATAAATAAATCTTAAAAAAAAAAAAAAGTTTCCTAGCTGTCATCTTAACTGTCACTAAAACAAAAAGCTCCCTAAAAGGGAGAACACTTTTGCACATCATACATCCAACAAGGGACTAAAACCCGAAAAACTCACATAACTCAACAAAGTAACATAGCAGAAAGTTTTACCTTCTGTTTATATTCATACAGGTTTGCTATTATTGTTGATATAGTTAAATCTCTGTTTAGATTTGCCTCCCATTTGCCATTTTGTTTTCTTATAATTACTTCTTTTTTTTATATAATTTTTTCTTCTTTTTTTAAATTATTATTTATTTATTTATTTATACAAGCACTGGGTACAGTCAGAAGTGTGGGAGGGTGAGAGAATTCACCAGAGCCAGAGCGGGGAACAGAGCAGGCAGAAGGACCAAAGTACACTGCTGAGGGGAGCAGCGGGTGGCAGAAGAGGTCTGCGCACCATGTAGGACCCTCCTCCGGTGGCCGGGGAGCAGCCAGGGATCGAACCGGCGCTGCAGAGGCCGCGGGCAGCCTCACAACCCAGCGCTCAACCACTGCACCACCGGGGAGGCCCTATAATTACTTCTTATAACCCGATACTCCTCCTGGATTTTGTCTCCTAGATTTCATCCTTTAGTAACTCCATATAGCGTTTTACACATAGAAAGTGATCAATAAACATTTATTAAGTGAAAAATTAATTTAACCAGATGAACATAATTTGAATGACTTTGTCTCCTTTGTGTATTAGAGTGACTTATAGAACTTGCCTCTTTTTTCAGACAGAAAGCTAAGATATCTGGTTGTGGGCCATGGGAGATATAGCCTGGTTTTAAGTAATAGTATGGATCAAAAGGAAGGATGGAGAGAACAAAGGACCTAAGCACTCTCCTCTCATCCTTACTTTACTCCTAGAATTCTCTTTCTGATATCAGTACCATCCTTTTCCAGCATAAGTTTTGGCCTCGTTTCCTTCTCAGCTTGCTTGGGCCAGACACTTGCCCTAATTGAGAAGCAACATGGGAATGTAACATGGGAAAGCAGTCTGTTCCTATGGCAGAGAAGCCTAATGGACATGTTTGTGGGTCTAGAATCACCTCACCTGGTATCTAATTGCCTCCCTTCCACTTACTGGACAAGTTGATTGCTTTATGACTTAGTTTCTTCATCTGTAAATGAGAATAGTAATGTATCTACATCATAGATGTAGACTATAGACATCATTACTGTGACATTCGCATGAACTAATATACATAAAGTGCTTGATATAGCACCTGATTTAAAACCCTAGATGTGTTAACTGTGGTTATTTCTTGCATGTGTTTCCCCTGAGCTCAGGGTCTTCACTGTTATGGGTACTAGGATTGAACATGATTGTTCAAGTTGGGGTTTCACTTCAGTCTCATCATGGTGGGACAGACATAAAGACACAGCCCACCAAGGGTCTTCATTCAAGATACATATTCAGGATTTTCCCTATGCTTTAAACTAAGTTATCCAAAGTATAGTATTTTTTTTTTTAATAATTCTAATAGAAGTCTTAACTTTTTTTTTTTAAAGATTTATTTATTTATTTATTTATTTATTTATTTATACAAGTACTGGGTACAGTCAGAAGCGCGGGAGGGTGAGAGAATTCACCAGAGCCAGAGCGGGGAACAGAACAGGCAGAGTGACTAAATACACTGCTGAGGGGAGCAGCGGACGCTGCAGGAGAGGTCTGCGCACCATGTGGGACGCTCACCTGTAGCCGGGGATCGAACCGGTGCTGCAGAGGCTGCGGGCAGCTTCGCAGCCCAACACTCAATCGCTGCGCCACCAGGGGAGGCCCAAAAGTATAGTATCTTATAGAAAGCTACATGTATTTTTAGGGTTAGTCACATTTTGTGGGCAAAATATCATTTTAGGTGGAAATTCGTTCTAAAGAAGAATTGATTCAACAAAGTCATATTTGATTCAATAACTCGTTAATTGATTCAATAAATTCAATAAACTCATAAGTTATCACTAATCTAATAGTTACAGGCTTTGAATCATTCTTATAATTTGAATCTATTGTTGCAATATGCTGAATTATACTTTTTCATTTGGTGAGTGGGACATATACTTAGGTGTGGTAGTGGTTATATTGTATAAAAATACACAATTTCTTTGCACCTTCTAGTATGTAAAGAATTCTTGAGCCGATTCTACAACTCTTTGATAGCCAGAGGAGTCCACTTTTCTCTGGACACCATAGAAAAAGAATTGATCGACTTTTGCTTGGATGTCAAAGGAAAAGAAAACCGCCTGGTATGGTAAATTTCACCTTCCATTTTCCCCTTGTACTTGAAGAAAACTGCTAATAATTTCATTTTTCATCATCAACTTAATGTTTTCCAGTTAAACTCTTGCCTCAAGCACATTCATTGCATAGAGCAAGCAGAGCAGAAATTGATCTCTCAGCTAAATGTAGTCATATGTATTTTCATGTAGGGGGTAGCTGGTTTCATTTTGCTTTCTAAATAAATCACGAGCAACCAATTCTATGTTTTCTTAAATGAATTATGCAATTGAATTCTTTTTTTTTTTTTTCTAAAGATTTATTTATTTATTTATTTATACAAGCACTGGGTACAGTCAGAAGTGCCGGAGGGTGAGAGGATTCACCAGAGCCAGAGCGGGGAGCAGAGCAGGCAGAAGGACCGAAGTACACTGCTGAGGGGAGCAGCGGGCAGCAGGAGAGGTCTGCGTGCCATGTGGGACCCTCCTCTGGTGGCCGGGGAGCAGCCGGGGCTCGAACTGGCGCTGCAGAGGCTGCGGGCAGCTTCGCAACCCAGCGCTCAACCGCTGCGCCACGGGGGAGGCCCACAATTGAATTCTTAATGAGAATGTACTGTGTTGAATTCAGAGTGGATAGATGTTTTTCAGTCTTACAAAACAATCTAGTGAAACCTATCAAAACATTTTATATTATTATTTATATATAACTAATGAAGCATAAATATTTTCTTATCATGGTGTTTGTAGGGTACTTCCTGGGTAGATACAGATGACTTGTTTCACTATACTGTTTCACATCTTTTTTTTTTTTTTTAAGATTTATTTATTTATTTATTTATTTATTTATTTATGCATACAAGAGCCGGGGTGCAGGCCAGAGATGCAGGGGGGGGCCTCCCCGGTGGCGCAGCGGTTGAGCGCTGGGTTGCGAAGCTGCGCGCGGCCTCTGCGGCGCCGGTTCGATCCCCGGCTGCTCCCCGGCCACCGGAGGAGGGTCCCACATGGCGCGCAGACCTCTCCTGCCGCCCGCTGCTCCCCTCAGCAGTGTACTTCGGTCCTTCTGCCTGCTCTGCTCCCCGCTCTGGCTCTCATGAATTCTCTCGCCCTCCCGCGCTTCTGACTGTACCCAGTGCATGTATAAACAAAACAAACAAAGAAACCAGCAAACAAATAAATAAAGCATGCCTCTATATAAAAAAAAAAAAAAAAAAAAAAAAAAAAAAAAAAAAAAAAAAACAGAGATGCAGGGGGGTGGGAGGATTCACCAGAGACAGAGTGAGGAACTGAATAGGCAGACTGACTGAAATACGCTGCTGAGGGGAGCAGCGGGTGAGGCAGGAGAGGTCTGCTGCGCCATGTGGGTTGCTCCCTGGCCGGCCAGGAATCAAACTTGTGCTGCAGAGGCTGTGGATTGCTTTACAGTGTGGTGCTTAACCACTTGTCCCACCAGGGAGGCCCTGTTTTGCCTCTTGAAAGACAATCTTAAGCTAATTCATTTTGCCTAAGATTGTCATGTTGGAATTTGTCAGTTAAATTTTCATTGTTGACGGCTCATCATAGTGTTTACACTGAATATAACACATTCACCAAGTTTTATGTTGTTAGACACAGTTACAATGTTTTCATTATAAAACTCTCATTTGTGCCATTTTTATATTCTTAACTGTAAAATGTTAAGTCAGCTGGGAAGGCAGTGTAGCATGATAGAAAAGAAAATGGACTCTAGAACCAAAATGTTAGTCTTTTTTGTTTTAAATTTATTTCATTTATTTATTTTTAATTGAGGTAATATTGGGCTATCCCATCGAGTACTTCCACCATAATGCACCCTAGATTTTTGAAATCAGTCTCTTCTATTGCTATCTGGCTGAACTTCAGTTGGCTTGAGTGTAAAAAGGGGATAATAACAGTACTTACTTCACAGGTTTGTGGTGAGAATTAAATAAACCAATGTCTTTAAAGTTCTGAGAGCAGTACCTGACACAGAGAAAACAATTAGCAAGTGTTAGCTCTCATCATTGGTCTTTGAGCATCATGTGAATTGTAGGGCACTTCTAATTAGACTGATCATGGGAATGAAGTCATTTGTTTTTGATGTCTTAGTCAGCAGGGGTTGAAATTTAAGAGCTGGGCCATGAAAACTAGGTTAACTTCTTTCTCACTTTTTGAAACTCTATTTCTGTCTGTGTTTTTCAATGTCTGGGATGCTCAATTCTCTTCTTTCTCTTTCAGTGCTATTATCTTGGAGCAACAAACGATGCAGCCACCAAGATCCTTAGCGAGGTCACTCGCCCAATGAGTATGCATGTGCCTGTAGTGAAGATTTGTGAGAAGCTAAAGAAAATGGACAGCCAGATCTGTGAACTAAAATATGGTATAAAGTAGTCAAAAAGTATTGCCCAATATGTCCAAAATATTGCCAAATCTCTAAACAGGGCCATGTTTAAAAAAAAATCAGTGTAAGAAGGAGAGGCATTGTCAGTTATTGATAGTTGTTGGGCTGCTGTATAGCACTGAGTTTTGGGGAAAGTGAAGTGAATACTGGCACAATCAGCATCAGTAAGACTGCTAACCCAAAGAGCGAAGTTTAAACTCTTAAGCACGAAGGCAATATTGACTACATAGGGAAAGATTTTTGGTAACCTTTTAAGACAAAAGTTGCATTGATTCAAAAGTGATGTAAGGATTTAAGTTTTTTTAAAAAACTTTATTTATTTATGCTTACAAGAGCTGGGGTACAGGCCAGAGGTGTGGAGTGGTGAGAGGATCCACCAGAGTGGGAAACAGAGCAGGCAGATTGACTGAAGTACACTGCTGAGGGGAGCAGCGGGCGAGTCAGGAGAGGTCTCCTGCGCTATGTGGGTTGCTCTCTGGGTGGCCGGGGTATCGAACCTGTGCTGTTGAGGCTGAGGACAGCTTCACAGGTAGTGTCTTAACCCCTTACGCCACCAGGGAGGCCCCAGGATTTAAGTATTAAATGTGACTACATCTTTTTTCCTAAATTTGGTTATCATTCTGCCAGCTTTAAATTATGGGGTAAATTTTAGAAAATAGGTTATTCACATTAAATCAAGTTTTGCTAGATGAAATAACCTTTTTGTGGGAGCCTAAAATAAACAGTGAGGAAAGGAAGATGTCCTATTTAAGACATTATCCTTGGCCTTATAATGTTCTCCTAGATCTAGTCTTATACTGCGGATTTGTATCTAGGCCAGTCTTTTGCGTGGATTGAGTAGGTATGATACAAGGCAGGGGAATTCCTACCTTACCTGATAGTCCATCAGAGGAGATCCATTTCTTTTGTGTAAGTCATTGTTTTTATGTTATATAGCCAGTGTGGTATTGTAAAATACTTAAGTAATTAGGACCTGACTGAATTATTTTTGTCTTATTTCCCAACAAAGTTGTGTAATAGGCCAATGCTCCCTAGCTACATAGCTAGGTTTAAAGTTAGAAGACACCAAAGAAAAACTGTTTCTCAGTTTGGCAAGGGCAAGCCCTTATTTCTAGGGTGGTGATTATGGGGTAGGCATCCTTTTTTATTGGCTTCCAAATAATAAAGTAGAGGCAGGAAACACCAAGCCCATATAAACAATGTTCACAAAAGGGAAAAACCTGTGCTGATTTTTTCATTCAACACATCTTTTGGAAGAAATTCTATGTGCCAGGGGTCTTATTGGGATCCTTGAATAATAGAAAAATGAATCAAATATAATTGAGAAGAAACAAACTAATGTTTTCATAAATGCCGGCCACTAGAGGCCCTTGGGGAGCCACACACACTAGGTTTAATTTTGTATTGACCTTTTCTTGTAGTTTTAGGGTGTCACAGAGTTTTTCTCCATTTTAAAATTAATTTCAGATGCCAGATTCTGTATAAAAACACAGAGGAAATACTGACACTTCAAGAAAGTATGTTTTCCCTTCAACTATTGATCCTGAATAGACCAATAGTTTAAAATCCTTCTTCCCAGAGTCTTGTTAAAAGAGAAGCTGAGATTGAATAGAGATCTTTGAGTTGTGGGATATTAATAATTTGGGCTAGAAAACCTTCTACTTTTAGAAGATTCTGTCAAGTCAAATCATGAAATTAGTAAACAATTTAAGTGTGGAGGTGGGTTATGTTTACAACTAGGAAAGAATGCTTTTGTTTACTGCTTTTTAATTTTTTAAAAGATTTATTTATTTATGCATACAAGAACCGGGTTACAGGCCAGAGGTGCGGGGGGTGAGAAGATTCACCAGAGACAGAGTGGGGAGCAGAACAGGCAATCCACTGAAATACACTACTGAGGGGAGCAGTGGGCGAGTCAGGAGAGGTCTGCTGCGCCATGTTGGGTAGCTCCCTGGCCGGCTAAGGATCAAACTCATGCCACAGTGGCTGAGGATAGCTTCATAGGTTGCGTCTTAACCCCTTGAGCCACCAGAGAGGCCTGCTTACTGCTTTTTTAGAAAGATGGAAATCACTATAAAAAATTTAGGATTGTCTGGAGCACAGAGTTTTGGTGAAAACCCAAGAAAAAAAAAAAAAGACTTTAAAATTTAACTTTTATTTTTTTCCCAGCTTTAAAGAGATAATGACATAATATCATGTAAGTTTATGTAGAGTTTGATACACTTCGTATTATAAAATGACTACCACTTTTGCATTAGCTAACATCTACATTTTGTCACACAGTTACCACTTCTTTGTGGTGAGAAGATTTTTGGGGGAGAGAAGTTACTCTTCTAGTAACTTCTAAGTATATAATACATTATTATTAATTACATTAGAGCCCCAGAACTTATTCATCTTGCAGTTCATCTTACAAAAAAAAGTTTGTACCTTTGACCAACATCTCCTGTTTCCACTACGCCCCAGCCCCTGGTAACTGAGTTTGACTTATTCACATTCTACCATAAGTAATGTCTTATAGTATTTGTCTTTCTCTGGTTGACTTATTTCACTTAGTGTATGCTAAGTGCTCTAAGGTATATCCATGTTGTTGAAAATGGTAGGACTTTTTTCTTTCATTTTCATATGAATGTATACATATATATCTTATGTAAATATATTCATTTAATATATTTATATATTTAATATATAAATACAAATATAAATATATGTTTTGTGTATATATGTATACATGCATGTGTGTATACATTCATCTGTTGGCAGATACTTAGCTTATTTCCATATCTTGGCTATTGTGAATAATGCTGCAATGAACATGGGAATGCAGATATCCCTTGGCTATCCTGTTTTCATTTCTTTTGTATTTATGCCCATAAGTTATATTGCTGGTTTAATTGTAGTGTAGTCCTATTTTTAATTTCTGGAGGAACCTATACTGTTCTTCGTAGTGACTATTCCAATTTACCTTCCCACCAACAGTGTACAAGGATTCCCTTGTTTACTTCATCTCCAATAATTGTTAATGCTTGCGTTTTTGATGACAGCCATTCCAGCAAGTGTGAGGTGATATCTCATTGTGGTTTTAACTTGCATTTTCTTGAAGATTTTGAGCACCTTTTTATGTAACTGTTGGCCATTTATGTGCTTTCTTTGGAAAAATGTCTATTCAGTATCTCTGACATTTTCTAACTAGAATTGTATGAATTCTTTATATAGTTTGGATAGTAACCCTTTATCAGGTCCATATTTGCAAATATTATTTCTATAGAGAAAAACTGCCCTCTTCCGATAGAGAAATTAAAATAATGAATATCATATATTGTGTTATATATAGTACATTATAGATAAGCCTAATAAAACAAATTTTGGGGTGAGGACTTGGCATTTGAGAAGTAGCTGAGTTCTTGAAATTTTCTGCAAATAATCTATAAATAGGAAAACAGTGGTTTTACTAGAGGAGTTAGGTATTGGTGACAGGCAACAATGGTAGGAGCCATATTGGCTGGCACTGAAACACTAGCATTAGAGAAGTGGATAATAACCCAAAGGGCTACAAATGAATGCTGTGATAAATTAGTAATCCCAGTAGGGGTAATGGGATCCGATGAGTTTAAGCAAAAATCTAAAACAATTACGGGTCAGAGAGAATGCTCTGAATTTTATTTATGTGTTTCAGTTTCTTTACATTTTTATTTAAGGACTTGATAGTGATTTGTAATGTGTATGTTCATCTGTTTTAATGAGCCATAACTTTTAACCATACTCCCAAGGCCATCCCAAGGCACAGCCTTTTATCGATTCCCTTCTTTTTACTTCAGAAGCAGCAATTAAGATGCAGTTCTATTGGTTTTAGGAGTGCTGATCTTGAGAAACCTTGCTGTGGTAGCTAATACTACCAAGTTACAAAGTCCCCTGTTTTGAAACAAATATAATTCCTTAGGGAGAAAGTCAGAGGCAACACAAATTGTCTCAAAGCTTTGTGTAGAACACAGGTGTGTCTTGGTTTCCACAGAAATTGAACCGTTCCTCACTTTGGATCACAAAGTCCACACTGAGAACAATAATTTTATTTCTTTTTTTTAAGTATTTCTTAGTTTTTAGTTTATTAGAAATTGTGCCTTTCCTTTTTGCCCTTTAGAAAAGAAGTTGGACTTAGCATCATTGGACCTGTCGAAGATGAGAGTAGCAGAGTTGAAACAGATATTGTACAGCTGGGGAGAAGAGTGCAGAGCCTGTGCAGAAAAATCAGACTACGTGAATCTGATCAAAGAACTGGCGCCCAAGTATGCAGCCACACACCCCCAAACAGAACTCTGACTCATGGAAGCCTGTACATCATTGATTGTAATTATAGACAAAGTGACTTAGTAGGACACATTGGTTAACAGTAACCAAGCATTGTACTGTGTGTGGTCCATATGTCTTGTTTTGATATACCTCAGAATGGATTACTTAGGTTTAGTGACAGCTTGTATTTGCAGTGTCCCAAAACCTAAAAGTGCCTTTCTCATAGTCTTGCAAGCAGGTTGTATAGTCTTGTAAGTCTTATATAAATTATGTTCTAGTTCCCAAGTTGGGAAAAGCAAACTATTGAAAAATCAATGCAGAAAAGTAATTCTAAGAAAGAAGAGAGTGCTCAGAGGCCTCTTTGTGTACTAATATTTAATTAAACACATTGGATTAGCACAAAAGAAACAATATTTTAGTTTTCTGAACTTTTAACTTCAATGCCCCCAGAAATGTGGCATAATTAAAAGATTTATTTAAAAAAAGTAAACTTTGTATATTCAACTGCAAAGGCAGGAAGTACCACTTGAAATTCGTATTTCCCATATGAAGAAAAACTATTTAAAATCTATTTAAACCTACTTTAGAAAATGGATCCAGGATCCATACAAGCCTTGCCAATGTTTCAGGAAATTTTATCCACATCTACATTGTTGATTGAAACAAATTGAAAGTCTTTTTCATTCTTTTCTGGCACACATTAGACAAGTTTTTGATAGAAGACTGAAGCATATTGAGTACTTATAGGCAACATGGAGCTTTATGATTGTTCATGCTATTTTATAAGAGTTAAATTGTCAAATCATTTTGGGTTCCATTTTCCGGCCACATAAGAATAAAAAATCCATTGTAGAAGTGATCGCTTCTGAGTGGCACATGGAGAAGGGAATGACCACCACAAAGCTTTCTGGGGTGATAGGAAACAATCAACCTTATAGCTTGATTGGGGTAGTAGGTTACATGAGTAAATACAATTATTAAGCCTATTCAGTAGTATAACTAAGACCTGGACATTTTATTGTATATAGATTAGATCTTGAAAAACTGCTAAAGAAATTAATCAATCCAAAACCTCTTTTTCATTTAAGGAATTGCATTTATGGATTGAGAGTCCTTTTGGGGAGTTTAGGAGAAATTTTTCAAACTCACAGTATATGTTGAAAATGTAATTTTCATTCTTACATGTTGCATTGGTAAATGAATGTTCAGTTGGGCAGTTAGAATATCACAGAACTTGTCAGAGACTTACTGGTTAGTAACTTTGAAACGAGGATTAAAAAGCTTTGGTGCAATGAATGGCCGAAAGGGTTATTTGTTTCTGGATTTTGGAAACTTGATCATTATGTGTAAAGCACCTTATTTTACTTTGAATGATATCTTTTAAAAGCCCAGATTTTTTTTTTTTTACTATTTATAATCTTTATATTGTTTTTCTTTAGTGCAGTTTGAGCCTATAGTGAAATTTGATGTTGGATCTCAAAATCAGGTCAGATTTTTCAGTGTCATATTTTCAGGGATAAAACTGGGTAATAGGAACTCTGCTCAGCAGGTCATTCAAATCTATGCTGTTTAGTCTAGTTTCTTAAAGGGCATTTATTCTTAGTCAGTGCTCCTCAAACTTTTCAAAATAAGCATACAAATCACCTGGAGATCTTGTTAAAATTTAGATTCTGTTTCAGTGTGTCCAAGGTAGGACCTGAGGTTCTGCATTTTCAACAAGCTCCCAGGGTAATGCTCACACTATTCTTTCAGGGACCGAACTTTGAGTAGCAAGAACCTGAGGCATGGATCCTGTGATTGATTTTTCTCTTTTGCCATCTCAGTCAGTTGGGTTTCTGATAAAATTCTAACAACAACAACAACAACCAAACAATAACAAACACATAGGACTTTATTCTTATATAAAAGAATAACCAGTACAGAGTAGTATGGCAATACATGAAGTTCTTTGGGACTCAGCTCTTACCTTTTTCACTCATGCCTTAATGGTGGATTCCATTCTTCATCCATGGTCCAAATATGGAACTTTTTCTTCTAGAGGGAGGCAGGTATGAAAAGACCTGCCTCTAAGCAGGGTCAGCTTTTTAAAGTAGTTTTCCCTCCCTTCTACCCCCAAACCTCAACCCCTACACCCATTTCCCACTCATAATCTGCTCATATGTCATTGACCAGAACTCAATTACACGCCAAATCTAGCTGCAAGGGATCTCCTTGCTATGGATCATCATTATAACCCCCTAAATAATTCTTCCTCCTCGCTGTTTGCATCTTTCATAAATGTGGGCAGTTATGTGTTTCCTTTTTTTTTTTTTTTTTTTTGGTTTGACAAGAAGTGGCTACTGCTTTTCTATTTTATTCTTATTTTAAATTACTTCCTGGCTCATTGTGTGTGAACACATGTGCAAACATGTGCATTTGTGTGTATGTTTATCCAAAATTCAAAACACAAGAAGTCAGATCTTGTGATAATAGTCTGAGCTAAAAACTTCCATTTAAACAGTAATGGTCTGGCACAGATATTATTCCTGGTCTATGCTAGATTTTAAGACCCCCAATCAGAAGCTCCTTAATTGATATCTAAATACACATGGGGACTGTATATAACAGAGCACAACTTAGAAGTGGTAGTTTTCCATTTGCCTATGGATAAATTGTCATTTGCATTCCACCAAAAAAGTATTAAATTCAAACCAAATTAATTGGCACAAAGGACAAGAAAATACTTGATTAGCAGATTCCTAAAAATAAGCAGAGCCATTCTGTGATTGAGCGGCCCTATCTGTGGGTGTGAGCAACTCTTGGTGTCTTTCCTAAGCAGATGCCTGTGAGATTTTTTATCCTTACCCAGAAGAAATGATTGTTCAGGTGCCTGTTCTTTCACAGTGTTTGAAATAAAACAATTCCATCAACAGAGACGTCCTCCTGGACCTGTTCTCATTTTAAGTTTAGAAACTTTTTTTTATTAGTGTCACTTATTTTAGTTTTTTTTTTCTTTTTGTGTTAGTGTAGGGACCTAACATTTGTAGGAGTAACAAGGAATTAAAATTAGAAACTTAATTGCATCAAGTTATTATTCTCCTAAGAATAATTCTCTTCCTCTCCCTCCCCCCTCCTCTCATTCTGTACACAAAATGAAATCAATAGAAAAGAGAAAGAACAAAATGTACTAAGATTTTTTTGGGTATGGTTTTCACTGACAAAATTTTCAAGAAGGTGGAGATTGTGCAGATACAACAAGTGAATTTCTAAAGCTCATCAGAATTTAAATTAAAATTTTAATGTGTTACACTGATGAATTAAAAATTTCAATGTGGTAATTGACAGAGATAAGGATGCTGGATGTAGATGACATGGATCAGTTTTAAGACTCACACTTGAAAGGTGAATTTGCCCAGTGGTTCGTAGTTGTGGCTTCACATTGGAAGCACTTGGGGGAATTTTGACAACTAAAAACCAGGCCATATCCCTGGCTAATTATGCCAGTCTCTGGGTGGAGAGGGCAAGGAGAGGCCCAGGTCAGTTCTGAAGCTTCTCTGGTGAGTTTTGTGGGAGACTGTCCTTGATACTCTAGGATACAGGTAGATGCTCTGCCTATGATTCTGACAGCTCCCTCCCAGGGCTGATAGTTTCTTAGTGTCAGAAGCTCAACCTGTGCAGTTGTGCTCTTGCAAATCTTGGTGGCTGACCTTGCAAGTTAACATGGTCTGGGATATTTTCTATGATTGTATACTTGCTTATTAAGATAGCATGGATTAGTGATTATACTGTGCAAGCAATGCATTAATCCACAGAAAAAAAAAAAGAATAAGAACACGTAAAGACATTGAATACAGGTCCACAGTTCACGGCCAAATTACTCAGATCTAGAATTCACAGTTTTTGAATTCTGGAAATGATGACTTTTCAGATTCTGGAACGACAGTCTGGCGCATACACTAAACTTTTCATAACCCCTTAAGGCCTTGAGGCAGTACCCTTTAACACCTCCCATGAATCCAGGTCGGTTTTTGTTTGCCAAGTGAGTTGCAAAAATGAACTTTTCATTTTCAGAGCCTTTTGGATGTCTGAATCGCGGGATAAGAGATTGTGGCACCGTAATTCTCTGGCGGCTCTAATCTAGGTGTTATCAATCATTAATTAACACGCTGGTCTTTCTTTGATAAAAATCTCTTCCTCCCACAGGCTCGTGCCCCATACACAGATCCGCTCCCAGAAAGGGGTGGGAAAGCACCTGTGGCCTCAGAAAATTAGGATTCGGTGCCACACTTCTTTCTGCAGGTCACACACCTTCCAGAGGCGTGGTGCACGGTAAATATTCAAGCTCCACCGTGGAAACGTGCTCATCCTGTCGTCTTCCTACCAAGCAGGTAGGTCAGGTGTGGCTTCTCCTCTTCTGGTCATGACAGCCAAGAAACTGAAGGAGTGCCTGCTCCTTTCTATAGCCCCCACCCCATCCTCTCTCGTCATCCTGAAAGTCCGTTTGCACTTTATGACCAACTCTGATGTCTCTGTGGCTGCAGTGCTTACCATCAGTTGCAGAAACTGTTGTTTACAGGGCTCTTGGCTTTTTCCTTTTGAATTTTTTAAAACCCATTTTGGAAAGAACAGATCAAATGTTGGTGCCTTAGTGACAGAGCATTTATAAATACATTCTGAGGAGTCTTAGCTGGGCAGTTTCTAGCAGGCAGTGAATTTGCTCACCTTGCTGCATATTATCTAAGACTGGGTATATATATCCCCAGTTCAGCTATTGCCCTCATTTTTCAGTCGTCCACTGTCAGTCAAATATTTAGTTCCCAGATATCTTTATTTTTCCTCAATCCTAAATCAGCATGTTGTTTCTTTTGAAAGGGAGTCCAGAGTTTTCTTTTTTCCAGATTATATTTATATACATAAATTTTTGCTTCATAAGATGGTTCAGTGTCACAGCATCTTGATCTTTGCCTGTAAGTGCTCAAAAACCTGGCTTAGACCCAGACTATGCAAATGACTTTTGCAGTTTCCTTTGCTTTCTTGAATACAATTTATTGGTGGTTTCCAAATGTCTGATTCTGTTGGAAAACCTTATTATGTGATAGGATCTTGAATATACAAAGATAGAAGTGGAAATAATAAAACAGAACCCTGAAGTAGAGTTTGAAGCCTGGGTTTGCTTATAGCTAGTTGTGCTATCTGAGAAGAATCATTCAACTTTTCTGGCCTTCAGTTCTTCATCTTGGGATGTAACTAATTATGTCTCTCTAACTGGGTTATAGTGATGATTAAGTGGAAAATATAAGTAAAATAGATAAGAGTGCCTGGCACAGGGCAGGCATCTTAGTAGACATTAGTTGAATTTGAATGACATTTTTAAAAAATATTTATTTATTTATGCATACAAGAACTGGGGTATAGGCCAGAGGTGGCAGGGGTGGGTGTGGGGTGGGTGGGGTGAATGAGAGGATTCACTAGAGAGAGTGGGGAGCAGAACAAGCAGATCTATAGAAATACACTGCTAAGGGGAGCAGCAGGGGAGGCAGGAGAGGTCTGCTGCACCATGTGGGTTGCTCCCTGGCCAGTGGGGATCAAATTCGTGCTGCAGTGGCTGGCGATAGCTTGTGTTTAACCCCTGCGCTGTGTTTAACCCCTGCGCTACCAGGGAGGCCCCTGAATGACATTTTTCTTTAAGTTTTAATATATTGTAGCATTCTATGTGAAGGAATGTTGAATATTAGCCCATTTTACAGATGAGGAAGGGAGGTTGAATTAACATTTAGTGACTTGCCCTCCTGGCCAGGAAATGGATAGAGGTCACCTCACTTCTGGATTAGATATGACTTTAGGCTGAAAAGTTCAGGGGTGATAAAATTTGGTGATCTGGAAACTAGTGACTTTGAAGTGATCTTTGGGAAGCAGGCTCACTTATAACTCATGACACAGTTCTTAAAGGGATTATAAGAAATAGTCAAATAAAAATAACCTAAGTGACTGTAATTTGATAATTAATATAATGTTTTCTAGGATGGCTTCTGTGGTCAGTAGTGAGCTATCACTTTTATTTGGAGTGACTCAATATTGCTGGAGTGGCCTTCCATTCTATTACACTCAATTGTCATTGCATCATATGTGATGCTGGAGAATTCAGGTCAACTGTCTTAATCAACAACAAAAAGCATGGCAAAGGATGTTCATGATCTTTTTGTTGTAGCCACATCTACCAGTTCTCTGGAAATGCCTGGGAAATTTACTCATGAGCCTATTTCTAGAATGCCTGTTAAACTCTTGAAATTCAGCAACCTCAGATGAAGAACTTCGAAATTATGACTTATTCAAATTGGTTTGACCATTAGTGATTTGTCCCTCTATCTTCCTTTTTCTAATAGGCAAAAAAGAAAGCATACTATAATGTAAAACTGCATTTTTTATTTTCAAGTTGCTTTAAACATTTGAACTTAATTAAATTTAAACAAATGAGTTTAAATTGTTAGAAAGTATAAGGGTTGATTTTTCCCCCGTTTTCATACTAATATTAATCATTTGCAACTAAACTATGATTCTTAGAACACATTTCTTGTATATATATATATATATATCTTTCCTGGAGGGAGGGGGAAATTTGCAATATGGATGTGCTTTGATTAAAAACCTACTTGTGCTGGAATTTTAAACCTAAGCCTCTGTAGTAAATATGAAATTACAAAAACAAAAGGTCCCTTAAGTGTGTGGCAGTTAACTCAAGTGGATTTTCCTCTCAGCTGTAAGGATGACAATAAATTGATAATTAAATTTTTTTTTAAAGATTTATCCATTTATGCATACAGGAGCTGAGGAACAGGCCAGAGGTGTTGGGGCATGAGAGGATTCACCAGAGACAGAACAGGGAATAGAACAGGCAGATCTACAGAAATACACTGCTGTATTTCTGAGGGGAGCATCAGGCGAGACAGGAGAGGTCTGCTGCACCATGTGGGTTGCTTCCTGGCCGGCCGGGGATCAACTCGTGTTGCAGAGATGGCAGACAGCCTCATAGGTTGCGTCTTAACCCCTTGCACCACCAGGGAGGCCCCGATAATTTAACATATTTTAAAGTGATCGTCACTTATGGTTTACATAGAAGATGATGGTGATTTTGGGATTTATAAGATTTCATTCCTAAAATCATGACTCTGATGACTGGGTCACCTCCTAGGAAATGGTCAGGCAGGCACTCCCAGGATACCTTTCCTTTTAGCCTCACTGGCTCCACTGTAAAAATCAAAGGCCTCACAAAAATAACCACATACAAGCTTGCTTTCTGTTTATGTACATAAAGCAACCCTTGTATTTCCAGTGATTGCTAGTTTTGCAAGAGAAATGTCCAAGGCTTGTTCTGGCCCAACTTCTGCTCCTACTGTACTTAATGTCTGCCAGAGTGTTGGCAGGGTGGTGGCACCACAAAGGGCTCTGACCAAGCCCCATTTAACTTTGGGGAGCTTGCCTTCTTTCATGGAATGCGTCTCGCACTTTACTCTGGTAATGACACATATCCTGAAACCTATTTGAAGGAGTAGATCAAGGGAGAATTGTTCTTTAGCAACACACACAGCAAACAAAATTATTTTCTCTGATTCTGCGTTTGCTGATTATGACTATACCTGTGTAATTCTACATCTTTGGCTTAGAATGATAGTATGGTATGCAAGCATGCTGTTAATATATCCATAGTTGTAGCTTAAGGGGGCAAATTATAATGCCCATTCTTGAGTAAGCTGGCAAAGAGGCCTCCTCAATGAAAATAAAATAAAAAAATAAGCAGATTATTTGAAAGAAATAAGATGAGTAGATACCTTGAAAATTGGTCATGTTGCATGGTTAGAGAGTAGGCATATGGAAAACTCAAACCCCATTGAAAGGTCTTATTGCTTTTGTCCATTGATAAAACTTTTTTTGAAGTTATCATTCTTTTCAAGGCTTGGGTAACCCAAGTCTGAGGATTTTTTTTTCTTCTTGTGACAGGCAGTAGTTCACATGCTGACTTTTATAGTCTTATCTAGTGGTAAAAGTTTAAAAAGAAAATAGGGCCTCCCTGGTGGCAGCAGGGGTTAAAGTCTCAGTGCTATCAAGCTATTGCCAGCCACTGGGGCAGCGTGAATTTGATCCTCCACCGGGGAGCTAATCCACAAAGCGCAGCAGACCTCTCCTTTCTTGCCTTCTGCTCCCCTCAGCAGTATATTTCAGTAGATCTGCTTGTTCGACTCTCTTCACTCTGTGTCTGATGAGTCCTCTCACCCCCGCACCTCTGGCCTACACCCCAGTTCTTGTATGCATAAATGAAAAAAAAAATTAAAAAAAAAAGAAAAATATTTTAAAGGATACCAGGCAGCAATTTAAATATCTTCTGAAGAGGGGTCAGTTTTAAAATGTTGTCAGTATAAGGCAATTCTATGCAGCAACTAGAAGATTGAGGCAGATTTATCTGTACTAATTTTAAAAGATCACTGATTTTTTTTTAAGATTTATTTATTTATACATACAAGAACCAAGGTACAGGTCAGATGTGCGGGGAATGAAAGGATTCAGCAGAGACAGAGCGGGGAACAGAACAGGCAGACTGACTAAAATACACTGCTGAGGGGAGCAGCAAGCGAGACAGGAGAGATCTGCTGCACCATGTGGTAGCTCTGCAGCCAGCCAGGATCGAACCTGCACTGCAGAGGCTGTGGACAGCTTCATAGCTTTGCGCTCAACCTGCTGCGCCACAGAGGAGGCCCACACTGATGTATTTTTAAGTGAAAAAAGCAGCTTTCAGAACAGTTTGTATAATATGATCCCATTTTAAAAACAGCACAAAACCCATGTATGTGTATAAGCATAGAAATATATCTCAAGTAATGCCTCTCTCTCTTTCCCGTCTCTTTCTCTCTCCCCATATATGTATGTATTATTTATTTTAGGAAAGTTGCCATTGAATTTTATCACATATTTATTTTGGGATAACTTTAACTTTCAAATAATTTTAAATGTACAGAAAAATTTCACTTTGAGAAAAATAGAGAAATCTTATACATCGTTTCACAAAGTCATCAATTATGAAAACTCTACCATATTTTACATCACCTTTTATTTATATTATTTTTTCTCAACAATTTGAAAGTATGTTGTGGAAGATGTGATTCTCCATTACATCTAAATTCTTCAATACATATTTCCTTGAAATATATTTCCTGTATAGCCACAGGATGCGCATTCACATGAGGAAATAAACATTAACACCATACTATCATTCTAAGCCAAAGATCCCTCCTCAAATTTCTCTGATTGTCCCAATGACATCCCTCATAAGCCCCAGAATCCTGCTTTGCACATAGTATGTGTCTTTAGTCATCTTTAACCTATAACAATTTATTTA